TGGAAATAGCCTAAATTTTGAAGGTGCTACAACAAAGAAAAACCTTTGTCAGATGTTTAAACCATGACATCTGATCCTGGCATTTCAGAACTTTTCAGTAAGAAGTCTGGAAATTTCTCCCAGGTTTTTTCTCTTAATTCTGTTGAGAAATCTCAAAACAGAATTTGAGAGGCTTACTTTAAAGACAGCTTATCATCTTCCTAGTATTTCCAGGCTACTTCAAGGAGTGGAGTAACTGCCATCACTGTTTGGCCATCATGGCTGTCTAATCCTCACTGGCCTGCTCTTTACTGCCCATCACTGTCCAGAATGAGCACAGTATCATCTGAAAGAAGCTTCACACTTGCTCCTGGCTCATTCCTCCCACTCTCTGCCCAAAGCGTGACAAATCTCATCCTGCATGGCTTAAAAGGACACCTCTTGTTAGTTTGACTTCTCATCCCTCACCTGTTTTTTACTCTCTTTTCCCTAGATGTCATATGCAGAACTTTGTGTGTATTTGCATGTGTGAGGCCGAGTCTGATTGATTATCTGTTTGGGAGCTGTGAAAGAATTTTTTTGCTCAGCGACCTCAGGTAGGCACAATTAAAGTAGTTGGTGTAGGTTGTAGACTTCCAGTGCTCAGGGATCTGTAGTAATGTTCAGCCAGTAGTTACATACATGTGATAACCAATGCAATAAAGTCCATCTGTGAAACATACAGCTGATGAGGACACCTAAAAGAATCTAAAATTTTGTTATTTCTGCTAGCCAACTCTTCCTTTCATGGTAAAGAGGAGTGAATTTAAAGTTCTAAGCATGTGATGAAGAAAATTTGCTCCATCTTCTGGACTCTAGGGTGGGGAAAGGGCAGAAAATTACTGTAGTAGAATTGCAGACAACTGTTTAAACACTAAACTTCTGTCCAACCTTTTACAGAACTATCTAAGTAGTTCTTGCCGTTTCATACCAGCAACAATTAAAAGGATTTAAAAAAAAAGTTACTAAGAAACGTGGCTATGAAATGCAGCCAGACACAAAGTGTGAAAAACTATGTACCTGCTAGTGAGGAATTCTGCTTGCTATGTTAAAATTTGTATCACCGGCACTTGTTGACTTTAATAAAGCTTCTGTCATAAATGTTGTTAAGTCCTGAATTTCCAGATCAAATTCTATCTCTTCCTATGAAATATGTAACATCTAGGGAAATAAAAGAATACAGGGAATGCTGTACACAGGACTTGCAGAGCTGAAAAAGCTATAAAAAGAGAAAAAGTTTGAAAAACTATACATAATTTACTCTTTTAAGAACTCAGTAAATAGATTTTCAGCATTGCTCTTCTGTTAAGCATACAGTATGTTTTGTGTAGTATAAGATTTTAAGCAAACATAATAACTACAGCTTTGTTTCATTGCTAACACATCGTCCCTTTTTAAACAGGGAACAATCATTTTTCTCCTTCTCTCTGTTGCAGAGATGATGATGGAATTCTTATATTCTAGTGCTTGTTTTAGACATAACTTGTGTTCAACAAGGAGGAACAAGATAATGGGCCTGATTTTGGGGAAGATTTTTTTTATAGCTCTAGACAGTTCATCCTCTTTTGCAGATTGACAGGTTCCAACCCAAATGTGCAACAGTGTTTACAGGGTCAGTACCAGATGCCTACAAGATCTGCTTACAGAAGACCCACACCTCTTTAAGCAAACAATTCCCTGTTCTTTGGGCACTGGCAATAATGGCTTTAGGAAGAAGAAAAACCTACATATATTTTTTTACTGAATTTCAAATTATATGAGAAAATTTGTTGAAGAAATCTGGGTTAGTAAGTGGTGAACTTATTATTGTATTATCCTTCCTAAAATTTCCCTTGGTCCTGATATTTACCTGATGACATTGAAACTCATTAAACTATGCAATGTATTGTCTCTGAGGATCATTTAGAAACATGTAATTTAATCCTCATTTCTATCTGAGGTATCAGAGCCTGTGCGAGAGTCAAATGATCTGTGGTCCCACACTGTCACTGGGGGACAATCAAGCAAGCTTGAACCTTGGGGCCAGAGGGAGGTCCAAGTCCTGTATCCCTCCTCCCATCCAGTGAAAAACAGTCAGTCAGTAACTACAATAAATTGCAATAAACAAACTATTTACAAGTTTTGATCTGAAGAAAAAGAATGGAACTAGTATCTTCAGCATAAGTTGCTCTGCATTTTTCATGAGTCAAATACCCTCTATTTCTCTTCGATCATTTGGAGCCGTTAGGCTACAAGGTTTTTTAGCTATTTAGCAAATTGTGAAATAAATATGTGGTTTTTATGGCATCAAATCCCTAACCCAATGAGTGAATAGAATGAAAAATGCTGCTGACTTTTTTTCCCCTGCAAATGTAACACTATTCCATAGTTATAATGAATGTTATTTAAAGGTATGCTGTACTGTTATTTGAAGGTATGCTGTGCTTTTATCAGTAGCACTACAAGACTTCTCAGCATGCATTTGAAAATAGTTGTGTTTAACACTTTTCATCATAAATTTTATTTTCAGGAACATTTCACAATTGATTCTTATAAGAAGTGATTTTCTAATCTTTAAGTCACCCTGCTAATCATAAATACATAAAGTATTTGCCTTTCTCTTACTTCAGAACTCTGTGTATAAAGGCAAGACTATAGAACAGGAAGTTCTTACACAGTACATAAACTACCAGTTGCAACAACATGACCATAGAATATGCTATGCTCTTCCCTGTCTGGAGCTGATTAGTGTATGATCCCAAATGTCAGCTTTTATATTCTTTATTCTTTAAAGTGCTGATCTTCTTACTTAGTGGATCCAGAAAGAACAATACTATAGACAGTACACTACATGAGCATTCCCCTCTCTCACATTTCTGCTGTGTGGGCCCAACGCGAAGGACACAGTGGGGTATTTCCAACCAGCTATGCAAACATTGCCCGTTTGCCTTACAGGATGTGGCTGGGCAGTAGGGATGAAGGTGCCTTCTTGCTATTTCTGGATTTGCTGGGTTAGGAGGAATGTCTTGAAAGGGGGAGTAGGGTTCATTATGCTCTCTCCAAGAGGCTTCTGGAATGCCGGGTGGGACATGAAAGGCCAAGGGCTGAGCAAGGAGGGAGCTAGCAGAACAGGGACAGAGTAGAGCCTCCTATGGGAGCAAGGGACTTCCCTCAAGCAGGGAGCAAACTTACAAGTGTTGAGGATGACATTCTTGGGGATCCAGAAGCACTGAGGGTGGTTGTGCAAGCTAATGTGGGAGTTTTGCCACTGAATTTGTTTTTAATTTGTTCTTTGCAGATATTTTAGTATTGCTTAGAGACTACGTGGGCACTTCAGAGACTCCTGCTGATTCCTATGAAGTTCTTACCTGCCCTCTGCTTTTCTGTTCAGAGGGTCAGTCAAAAATCTAAGACAAAGCACATGTGAATATCCGTCAAATAACTAATTCCTCCCATGTGTTTGTAGTGACCTCTAGCTTCTTAGAAGTGTAAGTCTAAAATAACACAGAGTTGTTGAGGCCAGGTTGGGGAGCAGGAGAGGGAGCAGACAAAAGCTGGTGTGCTCTCAGTGCTTTGCCAGTGGAAGCTGCTGCCCCATACAATCCAGTTACCCCACACCCAGTTCTCCACAGTGTCTCATGGCTTTCCAAGCTGCTGATGGTAGCGATGGAGGCAGCAGTCTTATTGACATTTTGCTATTCTAAGGGAAAGCCTAATTTGCCTGTGCCCTAAAGTTGACCCTACTATCTTTGTGCAAACTTTTTTCATCCGCAGGGCCAACACTTTTCTGATAACTGTGGGAAACATGTCTATCATATATTTTTCATTTTAAAGGCTAAATTATACAGACTTTTCTCCACCCAGACATATGTATGTATATACTTTTTTGATTTATTATGTGGGGTTTTTCTTCTCATATTTCTGGGTGCCTCTAAAAAACCCTATTGTATGGATAAAACTGAATAAACAAACATTGAAAACACAAATTTTAAAAAGTTTTTCACATTCATCAGACCTGTAGATATGTAAAATTTTCTGACCCATTGTACTCTTTGCTTGGAATAAATTATTTCATGATACTCTTGCTGCTATCAACCAGATCTGCCCGTAGAACCCAAAGTAATTTACCTTCCATGTTTTAAATACCAGAATTTTTTGTGTTAGCCTGGGATAGCCTTCTTTTTTCTGACTTTTTTTACTCTGCCATTTTGAATATTTACCATAATAACCTGTAGAAAGCATGCCTTATCCTTATGCATTTGTTCACAGAATCACAGAATCATTAAAGTTGGAAAGAATCTTCAAGATCATCAAGTCCAACCATCAACCCAACACCACCATGCCCCCTAAACCATGTCCTGAAGGGCCACGGCTACGTGTCTTTTGAACACTTCCAGTGATAGTGACTCCACCACCTCCCTGGGCAGCCTGTTCCAATGCTTGACCACTCTCTCAGTACACAAATTTTTCCTAATACCTAATCTAAACCTCCTGTGGTGCAACTTGAGGCCATTTCTTCTAGTTATTTGGGAGAAGAGACCAACACCCACCTCACCACAACCCCCTTTCCAGCAGTTGTAGAGGGCGATGAGGTCTCCCCTTGGCCTTCTCTTCTCCAGACTGAACAAGCCCAGTTCCCTCAGTTGCTCCTCATAAGACTTGTTCTCCAGACCCCTCACTAGCTTCGTTGCCCTTCGGACATGCTCCAGCAGCTCAATATCCTTCTTATAGTGAGGGGCCCAAGGGCCTGTTGTTGGGGTGGGGCTTTTTTTTTGTTTTTTTGTTTGTTTGTTTTTTTGTTTGTTTTTTACTTTGACAACTTTGAAGTACATTAGGATTTTCCTGAAATGGGAATCAGAAATGTAAATTTTTCACCTTTGATGGTCAAGAAAAATTTCTGTCACAACTAAAAGGAATGCTTACTTTACTTCTACATGACTGCATCTGTAATAACAACTGGATCTCTCCTACTCTCTATTATGGAAAAATCTTTTGTGTCTTACCTTGTCCAAACAGACTATCTTGGTCAGCTTCCTTGAAAGGTGGTCCTGTTATATGCATCAGTTCTTTCTTCTCGTCAGCTTCAGTATTCTCATCTCTGGCTTGCAGGAGATTAGGTGGGGTAAAGCTACCTGTGGTATAAACTGCCAGTGTGGTAGCCTGCTCCACTGGAGACTCATAGCCATCAGTGATTAAGTCATTGCTAGCAGAATCATCTGCTGGAGGAGGCAAATAGGAATCCTCTGGTTTTGGAGGACTGCTAGTGCTACCCAGAGCTTTGAAAGGCACTGTGAAACTTTGGTGGTCAGTAGCGGTATCTTCTGTGTGTGGAGGAGATTTGTCCTGAAATGGTTCTCTGGAGGGTTTAGTAGGAAACACAGGTTCAGATGAAACAAAATTATTAAAGTCTTCAGGGGCACTGATGTCTCCACTTAGCACAGGGATTCCAGTTGTAAATTCATTGACCAAGATGTCTCCTGTTTGGTCCACTGTTGCTGGGCTGGGGTAACCTAATGGGAGTTCCACACTCAAGGAATCCTCCTGAAAAAAAGTTTTTAAAAAGCAGCTTTCATTCTTATGTTTAGCTTTCATTGCTAAAAAGGCCAATAATTTTTAGCCACAGGAGCTTGCAAATAGCTAACAGCATAAAGTCATGGGATGTATAAAATGTTTGGTATGTGCATGTGATCCTAATCTCACTGCCTGTAATTTTAAAAACGGTCAAAGAAAGATGACTTTTACTGTCCCTGTCAGTTGCTCTCCTTCTGTCATTGAGATGTACTACTGAACTGGTGAGGCATTTTTTACTTTGTAGTTAAAGCTGGAAAAAGTAATCAAGCAGTAATATTCACCTGTAAATGCTCTAAACAGTATCTCTGTCACAGTATAACAACACAACATCCATCCCTACAGCATTTATAAAAAGCAGATATGTATTTTAGCATAAAAGCCTTTTTCTGTATATTTATGTACATTTTAACACTGTTTAATTTCATTTCTGATGGAGAAATATATAAATATAACAACCACTATTAACTTACCAAATCAGGGCCTGCCAGAGGAATAGTGACCATAGCCTGGATATCATTATCAAAGTCACTAGGTGGTATAACAGATTCTGAAAAAAAACCCCAAAAAACAGCACACAATATTTCTGCAGTGGCACACTGAAAACTTATCAAAACACATAAACTCAGTAAAAAACAGGATGAAAATCATTCTCCATCAAAAATTTACTTTTAAAAATCCATGTTAAGAAGAAAGAGGCATAAATTTACATTTAAACTGGCAATTATGATGAAAACAGGAATTTGACGTGTAATATTCTTTGTTTAGTATAAATGGGATAGGTCTGGAGAGAACTGAACCATGGATGAATGCTTAAAATCAGCTGAAGTTTGAACTGCTCAGTTAAATCCGTATGGGCTATGATTCATTATATCGTGTTATTCATTAAGCTTAAATTCTTTTCAGTTTTACCCAGAGTCCACACCATTGTTACTTTCAGCATTTTGGCTTTAGTGCCCAATTGTTCCCTTCACCCCCTCAGAGGAGCTCTTTAAAACATGCTTGCATGCAAGCTGTTTTTCTAAAACTGGTTATTAAAAATAACTAGTGGGGAAAAGTTGATTAAAATAGTTATTATTAAAGTGTTCTATGTCCATGAAATTTTTTCTTGGTACTTCTAATCTACATTAAAATATAACATTTTATTCTTACAGAAAGTATTTGTTCACCTAAAATTTCTTTTTTTGCAAGAAAATACTGCTGTTTGTAAATGAAACACTACAACTAAAATCTGGTGTGTGTTTTAAAATTGTTTTGGTAAATATACATATGAAAGAATATTTTAAATTATTTTCCCCATTTTTAACCCACCTCCCCAAAACTAGGGCAGTGCTAGCTTTGAAAAAATCATTGATGGACTAGAAGGGAGTATTTATTAGCTGGATTACTGAACAGGATGCAGCCTTTCAACCTTCTGCTGGAGGTCTTCACACCCAGCTTGTCATCTACATTGCCTCTGTGTTTCAGAGAGCAAAATGCACATTTACAGTGTGATTCACACCACCGATTTTAGCTTGGGATCAACTGCTCTTTAAGGTGTCTGTCCCTCTGACTTCACGGGGAGGTTAGATGTGTTGCTTGCAGTCGAAAGTTAGCTTTCAGAAAGCTAAGTTTCTGTTAGAAGAAGCCCTCACTTTTTGTCTCATTTAAAGAAAGGAGACTGTCTCTACTGGGAAATTAAAGTTATATAGTGAATATTCATACTCTTTCTTTTTCTTTTTTCCCATATTTGTCTTATTTTCTCTTATTTGTCTTAGTGTGCAAAATATCCAGTTTTTCTAAACAAACAACCAAGAAAAATAAATGCTACAGTGTGACTCAAGTTAGGCTGTATAATTACAAAGGTACCTTTTACTATAAAATTTAACTTAGATCTGTGCATCCTTTGGATGCCATGCAACACTTAGGAGAATGGGATACATCAAATGAAAACCATCTGTTGGAGAAGCAAAGGAGACCTTACTGAAATTGCATCAGTTCGAAAGGGCAAGGTTCAGACTTGTGCCTGGCATTGGCCTGCCTACTGACCATCAGTAAACTGAAGTGTTCCAAGGTCCATTGGCAGGGACTGGTCTTCATGGAGTGCTATAGCAACCAGTTGCTGAAGGTCTGTTACTGTGAGTTTAGTTGCTGATACTTCCCTCTCTTCCTTTAGAGAAAGTGGAATTTTTTCATTTTCAACCTTATTAGATCCAATAGTAGAGATGTCATCTGCTGTACTTTTGGTTTCTGAGCCATCTCTCTCAAAGTTCACCACATATCGTGCTACAGTGCTGCTTGATCTGCAAGGGGAAGATGCAAAAATGCCCAGTGCAGCAAAATCAGTTACTGGCTGAGGACTGATTTTACAAACTTACAAACAAACAAACAAACAAACAAACAAACAAACAAACAAACAAACAAACAAACAAACAAAAATATATGCAACCATAACATATTATCTTCTGTAAAAACAATGAAGATAGATATACTTCTTTCTAATGAGACTGTCATCTTCAAATTACTTTTTCTATACCTAAACATTTTTTTCTTTGATGAGTAATTTCTAATAAAAATTCAAATATTGAAGAAAATTGTAAAAATGTTCTAACATAATCCAGTTTAATCTGACTGTGCAGAGATCTGTAGAACTGGTAATATAGTTTGAAGTCATCGATTATTGGTTCAAACAGTCATAAATGCATACTGGGGTTACTAGAAGCCATAATCACCTATTAATTATACAGGAACATATGAAAAGGGATTAGACAGTTCATAAAACTACAGGTAAGCAAAAATACTATCACAACTGGGGCAACTTTTACTGTTTTTTGAAGAACAGCAAGAAAGTTAGCTAATGTGGTAAGCAAATCACTTTTCACGATGGGACCTAGTTTTTCCAAGTCCAAATGAACGTGTATAGCTTCTCCCTAGATACACTTGTTTAACAGAAGTCTTACATTTTCACAATTATTAATACATCACTTTTCATAAGTGATGCTAAATTAACTTAATAAAAATGAAAAATAATTAATACATTGTAAAACATTTGTACTCCACTATGTTGCTTTTTATAATATCAAATGACTGGAGAGAGAGGAATTTCACTTTATCTAGTATGTGCTATGTATTTACATTTATATGACATTTCAAGAATTCAGGAAAAGCATTAAACTACAAATAAAAGAGAAATTATAGGAACCTCTACACAAGTTATTCCCCAGCAGCACTTTTAAGCAATGACAAAAGACTCTGTAACTGTTTGTATCACCAGTCAAAAGCTCCCTGCATTTTATCAAGCTAGTAACTGGTCTCTCTGCCATTCTATCTGGCCTGTTAATGGAGACAGCAAATAAATTCTACATACTTATTGAAGATAATGTGTATATGGGAATACATCTAGGAAACAGCAGATCAAAAGAGAAAATTTAAACATGAAGTTTCCCTAATTTTTTTCCACTTTCAGTTTATGACTGATAAAGATCTTTAGTCATCTGATTGTGAATTTTCTTAGGTCAAACAATTTTCTTTCCTTCAGAGATATCCTGACAAAATTTGATTACATGAACCTTTCAGATTAAGGTAAAAGCAGTCCCTGCTGCTTTATATCACAGATTTTGTACTTAGTCAGAACACAAATCAATTCACTTTGCCACATCAAGATAAAGATAATTTATTTATGTATCTGTCTGCATCTGATAGTCTATAAAATGATAATCTTAATTATGAATTACAGACAAATTACCCATCTTTCTCCTTCTTCTGTCTTCATGTCATCACAGAAGAAAGGGTGTGATAAAGGATTGCAAAAGAAAGAAAAACAAAGATTTATGTATATCAATAAATCAATCAGTCATACATGAAAAACACCTTTTGACAATTTATTTTATCTTTTATGTGTCATCTATAATTTTTATCTCTGTGTGAAAATGACAGCCTACTCTTCATCATTTTACTTTTTCCTTTCAAAGCAATGGGAATCTCCATCCTTTGGATGGGAAACAGGAATTTTACTTTAACCTTGATAGTCTGAAATATCTGTTTTCCTCTCTCCCACTACAAATGGTGCCATTTGACCACTGTCATTGCTAATCTATATCTTTATGGTGGCAATGAACACCTGTGACAGTATTAGCAACTATTACTCTTACTCTACATGGTGCCTACTCAGATCTTAGTCACAGGGGTAACTTGACCTGTTAATTACCTCTGGAAGACATGCCTATGTTGACCTTCTGTAATATAATGCATTGTTGTTTTCCCTGATGAATTCTCTAGCATATCTCTAATGTTGTCCTTCCATATTGCCTTATGGGAAATGCTGCTGACATATGTAGCAGTATGGCTAAGAGAGAATGGACAACACCACCTGTCGTTGCTGATCTGTAACTCTCAGGAGCTAAGTAAATTACTAGATGATTGGAAGCAATCCTGGTCTTCCACAGTGATGAATGTGCTTTCAGATCAGTTCTTAAGACCATGATACTAAACAGAAATGGAACTCAGATGTCCTGGAGTCACAAGTGAAAGAGGTTAGTTATTGCTCGTTGTAACTGAGACGCTGCTGCAGATTTTCTCTGCTTGTTCTGCAGTAGCCAGTTTTTTGTTTTCTCACTTGCATTATCAAAATGTAAGCAACTAATTTTCACTCTATTTTGTTCTTCTCTCTCCTTTTCCCCAGCAATTTTGCAGAGAGAAAAACTAGGAAGAAGTATGCTTTTGTCTAAAGTTGTGTTATGATATGAATGTTCTTCAACATGTATTAAATATTACTAGAAGGACTGAATGTTCCTGATGCTGTGCGATAAGCCCACATGAATTTATGTCTTTTTTTCCTGCTCTTTATTCCCTTCCAATTTTATGTTATTTCTTACTATTTGTAATTTGTTTTCCTCTTGATTCTTTACATAATATGCTCTTATCTATAGAAGCATAGCCATATAAAACATGCAGGTTTTGACACCCCTCTATAGATTGTCTATTGAAAAAAATCCACAGTAGCTTGTGTTAGCAGTAAACGTACAAGGAAGCTAAAATGAAAAGAAATGGCAAGACAGAACACAAGTTTATTAAAAAATGAAACATTTTTCATTGTTGGAAACACCAAGGAAACACCTGTTGGAAAAGCTTCATATGTGTGAACATGTATCCTCCTTCAACCTTCTCTAGCCAAGGCACCTTCAGTGTCATCTATGAAGGGCACAGGATCCACACATGAAAAAGTAGCCACCCAAATAATCATACTCCTAACTCTCTTTACCTTGTCATTTAAGAAAGTCCTCAATACAATGTTGCTAGCAAAGAATTTCAAAGGAGTTATTGATTACTTCAGCCCTTAGGGAATCAAAGCTAACTTCTATTTAGTAATTCAAAACCTCATAGTCTCATCTGGGATGTGTTTACACTTCTCTCCATATTGTCTCTGTGTTGTTCCAAGAAATCTATTTTCTGTTTATAGCAATACACACCCCACTATTATATAGGTCTCTTCATGTTGGAGGGAAAGAAGGAAGAGGAGAATCCTAGTAGCCAATAGAAAAATGAGTCCCATTTTCTTACTTACTTAAATCCTAATACGTGGATTTCTTTGAATCCTGGAAGTTTCTCAAATATTTTTTGCATCTATAGAGAAAAATAAAATCATTAATTCAGTGTAAGTTCTACTGCTAAAAAGCAAGCACAGATTGACTACCTAGGCAATATTTTTCACATTTCAGGAAGAGCTCTAGAACACAGTCTCAACTGTCCTCTTTGTGGTGTCATCATTGCTCAACTTAAATACAATATTTGGTTTGTATGTGCTGCCTGTATTGCCTGTTAATAGGCAAAATGAATTACAAAATACAGCGTGTTTTAGTAATGTAATTATGTAAATCAGTGATAATCTAGTTCATAATCGAGCAAGTCAAACAACATGAATCAAATATTTTTCTAATTTTCAGCAGTTTTGGTTCATGAATAATCTTGTGATTCAGGTCACCTTAACTGTAAATTGTTAATTATTTAGAAATATTAACTAAATGGAGATAGATTTAGAATATTTGACAAACATTTTATAAATTAAACAGTTTTGACTGTGGTACAAAGAGAACAACTTTATATATTTTTAATTCTAATGTAAACAATTGTACAATTACATGATTTTGAATAGAAGAGACAATATGAAGACTAAACAATGAGCAGAACAGGTGAATTCTGTATACATTTTTCAGACTTTAGTATAATAAGTGTTTTTATAAGCACCTCAAGAATTAACAATGTTTTGAGATCCAGCCGATTGATCTTTTGGTCTTTTCCAGTTGTAGCAACATTTATACAGCTAAGTCAAATGTACATCTACTATGTCAGAGGAAAAGGATTTTTTTTTAAACACACAGTTCCACAGTTCCTTTCTGGTTCACTACCTGGTCATGTAAAGTACCAGGCAATACATCGTCTAAGCCATCATCTGTGAGCAAAGCCTGTGGAGTTGAGGAAATTCAGCACTTGAAATGAAAAAGCCTTTTGAGGAATCAGGTCCTTTTAATTCATCATATCAGTTAAAAAGTATATGAACTGATGTGGAGATCTTTCCTCTTCCTTAGCTTTAGGATTCTGTACAAACCCAGCATACATTTAAAACATTCATTCATGCATGAGAGTTTGTCAGAAATGGTAGGGAAAAGTCAGTAAGACCCACAGCTTTCCCTGTATCACTAATGTAGGTTAAGTGAAGAAGAAAGATCAGTATATTATCACAATAACAAGTATGTATCTGCCACACTGTACCAGCCTAGATGTCTTTTTCATCACAGCAAGCAAAAAAGAAGCTGAAGTCTAGCGCAGAAAATGGCCTACCATCTACATTCCCTTGCCCATCTCCCACAAGAGGACAGTAGGAAAGGAAATGAGGTAAATACTTCATTTTGAGCTTGGTCTGACTGAGTAAAAGTGGTGCAGAAGTAGCAATTAGGCTGTGAGAAGATTTTATATGTTATTCATATGACTAATGCTCACTGAAAGTAATGGCGATTAAGGGCCTAAATCACTAGGATGCAATTCATTTTCCTAAACTTTGGCAAGCACTATCATTTTAGATGCCTTAAGGTCATCTGCTCAGTTGCTGGTTCAAAAGAGTGCAGCTCCCTCATATTTGAGAGGCCCTTGCAGATGTGGTGGATAACCTGGGACACCTGAAATAGCACCAGAGGTGCATGTTTAGGCAACTGAACCCCATTTTATCCATGTTCTGCCAGCTGACTCTTGGCATGGACTCGTTCAGTCTCTTCTTGGTTCTCTTTATATCATAATGAAACTGATGCTTTCTATTAACTGTATGTACATATGTATCTTCCTATTTCCTACTTTTGCCAAATGAATCTTGATTCACTGAGTAGTGTAAGCATCTGAATTTGCATTCCATTAAATGTCTGTTGTGGTGTACAGATGTACCGAACATTAGACACTGTAATGTCTACTGTAACTCTTCCCTCCTGTAACTCCCTCCCTACTGTAACATTCCCTGTGTCCTGGAATGAATCAGAAACTGAGCTTGGAACTCCATGGCCCCAACCTTTGCAAGGGCTTCTCTGGAATTTGTACAGGAGCTCATGTAGCTGGATGAGGTTTTAATTCTGAATCTAATCTCCTCACTCTCACCCTTTGAATTCACTTGCAAAACTCTTGTATTAAGATTGCCGTCTGCCTCCTCCATGACCTATCTTTGGAGGAAAGCACGTCAGGTGTATTTCATGGTACTAGACTACAAATATTTTTCTATTCAACATTGCATGTCAAGAGCAGCTTTGGACTCTTTAAAGTGACAGGTAAAATTTCATGACAATGGAAAATAATTTAACAATCAAGAAACTTTGCATTTCACCCCTCCTACTAATGAAATTAATGAAATAACTTCAAAGTCAAATTGCTGAATTAAATCATTATATGCGTAGTAAAAAAAGTCTGCAGGCAGTTCTGTTTGAGGATAATACTGGAAATCTCCAGAGAAGCCACTTTTTATCAGCTCTGCCAGCACATCCTTCTATATGCATATCTGAAACTGAACCAGGATACTGAAATAGCTTGTACCAAGGAATCCTTGTGAAACTGATGAGAAGCCTTAGTTAATTTTACTAAGAAAACCTTTTGGGACCCTCAAGGCATTAACTGCTATCTATTAAATTGATAGCTGAACATTCAGTTAATATTATTAATTATATTAAAACACCACAGATGTTCCAGTTCTTACAGAAACTGTGGTAATGCACAACAAAATGATTGGAAGTCCTTTGAAGAATAGTTCAGACAACAGTAGCTGATTACCTTTAACATTTATATTACATTTCTCATTAGGTTTATTGTAGAAATTAAATTATGGCAAAGTACTGCCCATGAATTCCTGATGAAGCTCAAATGATATTCCTAAAGTTAGTCTGTTTGTCAGTTATCTGATGTTCTACTGCTGACAAAAGACGTTGGCTTGTTAGCTTGGTGGCTGAACAGATGGCCTAAACAAGGGGGAAAGTTGGCTATACATGAAGGAAAAATGAAGGTCTTGAGACAACAGGAATTACCTATTTCGAATGAGGGCAGTAGATTCTAGTTTTGTTTCATGGTGAAGGCAGCTTCATATTATAAATCTCAGTCAAGGTACCAAGCCAGCATTTTGGCACTCACTCAACCTCCTTACCTGTAGCTGAAATTTGGCAGCGAGTTGTCGGTACTGTGGGGAGTTGGGATCACTAAGTTCAGCTGTGTACTCCTGATCAGTGAGAGTGACACTGAATTCTACCATTTGCTCCATAGGCAGTTCTGGGACTGTATTAGTTCCCAGCTCCTGGAAAAGAAGAGGAAAGGGAAAAAAAAGGGGAGAAATAAAACTAAGTGATTTTTCCCTCACATTTCAGTAGATTTTTTTTTCTACATAAACTAAGTGATTTTTCCCTCACATTTCAGTATTTATTATGTAGAAGAGTTCCCTTTTAAACCTGTCCCCAAAATAACTTTCTGAACCATATCACAGAATCACAGAAACACTAGGTTGGAAAGGACCTTCAAGATCATCAAGTCCAACCATTAATCCAGCGCCACCATGTCCCCTAGACCATGTCCTGAAGCGCCACATCCACACATTTCTTGAACACTTAATATCCTACAAAAGGCAAGGGTTCAGTAGCCACATCTGTTGGCTTAATTATTCTGCCTTTGCAAACAAGTTTCTATTACTGTGACTTGAAAGTTACTGTTGATATGCATAAACGAAGGTGATGAATCAAGCCATTTCTTGCACAGAGACTGTTACCAAGTCTCCTTATTTCCATCATCATTAAAGTCATACAGCTTTACTTGCTACTTTGGAGGAAAGTGTGTGACCTCAAGGAGAGTGACAAGCAAATGTTAAAAGCTGGTTGGTGTCCTACCCTCAGAACACCCATGGTCAACCAGAGCAGACTGACAGACTCTCTGTTACTGTCTGTTCATGTTCATGCGTTTGCATTTGCTTTTTCCTGATAATGAAGTTGAAGTAGCCCTACCTGTGTTACATTTTGACTGTGCAGCTGACTTTACTGCTATTAAAAGTACTCTTTATTTATTGTTTCCCGAAACTATTTGCAGTTTTGGCCTATACTTACTAACTTTTTCCTTTAATAATGTTAAACTCCAAAAGCCAATTCATTTGTAGACTATGATGTGCAGGCCACAAGGAGAAGAGCCGCTATGGGTGCATTCAGAAAGATTTCCTAATTCATCTTAGATATAACAATAT